GTACCTCACACCCTTCTCAAAAACTCCACTCAGTCGTCCCGACCACCCCCAGGGACGAGCAGCCCCCGATTTGGGCGTCCTGACCGTCGACGGTGCGACCGCGTTTTCCCCACACTCACCCGTGGACGCCATTTTCTCTCCTTCCTTCTCGTTCTCTCAACGTCCGTCTCCCTCTCCCTTTCCCCCCTTAGGCGCCGCACTGCGCAGGCGCGAAACCCGCAACCTCGGGTGCTACCATCGGGCCAGGCCACGGGGGTGGGGGGAGAAGAGACGAACCATAGTTTCCTCTTCCTCCCGCCCGCAACTCTTGCCCTAATCCTCGCTAAAGAGCGCCGGCGGCGACGCGCGGGCTAAAGTAGCACCAAAGAAATAAGAGCGGTGGGTGAGCTGGTCTTGGTATCAAGGCGGAGTGATTCTACGCACGAGGCTAAATTGTTCGAAGTGGTCACGTCCGCTGGCTCTAGGGACCGTCTCTAAAGAGTGTGCCTTGAAGGGAAACGGAGGCCGGCGGGAGGGCTGGGGGGAAGGGACCTCGGCCTAGAACAACTGCTGACTAATTCGCGGGCGGAGAGGGTGGGGGTGGCACGCGGGCGGGTCGACCGGGGTCACGCGTCCGGGTGCAAGCAGAATGGGCTTAGGGTGCCCGGGCCTCGCGGGAATCGGGAGTCCCAACTCTCAGCCGGGGCCCTGCGCGGCTTTCGCGGGGCGGGGGGCGTGCTGCGCTCCGCAGTGAGTACCCCGGACACGTGGCCGGGGCGGGGGTCGGGGCCGAGGCCGGTGGGTTGGATGGGAGGCCCCCCGAACGTAGCGCCCGGCTCCGAGAGCCCTCCCAGTAACGGTCGAGATCGAGAAAGCTCCTTAATCATCCCTCACCTAATACCGTTGTTTTTACAGAAGGGGAAACTGAGGCCCAAGGACTTTGGGCACTTTTCCTAAAGTCACAAAGCTGAGTGCGACCCATACTTCCACTCTCTCTGTCGCCTGGAAGAATCTTCCTGGTCCTTGCCTTCCCATTCCGCTCTCCGGCTTCCCAATAAGGTAGGCCGGGCCTGATGGTGCACAGCCCCACTTTATAGATGAAGAGATTGCGGCCCTGAGGGTTCGAGTCCCAGTTCTGCTTGTCCTGGGGGACGTCCCCTGCCCTTGCTAAGGTCCCCGGTGAGGGTGGGAGGGGTTGTGAGGATGCAGGAGGGTGCCTGGCTCCTGACAAAGGGAGCCCCTCTGTGTCTCCCTGGACTCAGCCTTCAGCCCAGTCTCACCCACCCCTCTCAGCCGGGTGTGGTGCCAAACCACTGCCTTTCTTCCAGTGAACACATACAAAGCACCCGCTATGTGCCAGGAGCACCGTGGGGAACTTGGGGATGAGTAAGAGGAGCACCCCCCCATACACACACACACACACACACACTCACTCACTCACTCACTCACACTCTTCCAGTGAACACATACAAAGCACCCGCTATGTGCCAGGAGCACCGTGGGGAAATTGGGGATGAGTAAGAGGAGCACCCCCCCCCACACACACACTCTCACACACACTCACACTCACACACACACACACACACACTCTCACTCACTCACTCACTCACTCACTCACTCACTCNAGTAAGAGGAGCACCCCCCCACACACACACACTCTCACACACACTCACACTCACACACACACACACACACACTCTCACTCACTCACTCACTCACTCACACTCTTCCAGCTCAGACTCCCCACCTCACTTGCCAGGGAGAAAGACAGGCTAAGATCCATGATGTAAGGGCCAGAAAAGGGGATGGGGACATTTGAGCTGGGCTTTGAAGGGTGCAAAGGAGTTTGCCTTTTGAATATGGAGGCAAAGGAGCTTTCTACATTTTCCTGCAGGAAAAGGTGGCTTTTGATGCCGAGGATCCCGCTGGTAAGGGAGCAGATGAGGCAGCCTTGTTGTCTCTCTGGGATTTTGCTTCCTGCCCTATGAAATCAGTTCAGTGGGACTCCTGAGACTGACAGGCCTGGCCCGGGGTGAGGGGGTTGCAGCAGGGCCTGGAGGTCAGGCTCGATGTGAGGGGAGAGAACAGGAGAAAAAGCCTTGCCGTATGGGCAGGGAATGGGCGTGTTTGAAAGAGTTTTAACCAGCAAGTTAGGAGCAGCTGCCTCCCTGTTGAGGCCTCCCCTTGTTGGGGAAGCTAAGTGGTTACATCTGCCTCCCACAATTAGCCCCGATGGCTACAGTTAAATGAGCAGAAGCTGTGGGCCGCCTTAGTCATTCATTTTTCTCATCCTTTGAGGAAAGGATTTTCTTTTCTTTTTTAAATAAGTTTTTATTGATTTCAGAGAGACGAAGGGAGAGAGAGAGAGAAACATCAATGATGAGTCATTGATCTGCTGCCTCCTGCATGCCCCCTGCTGGGGGTCTATCCTGCAACCAGGGCTTGTACCCTGTCTGGGAATCGAACCTCTATCTCCTGGATCATAGGTCAATGCTCGACCGCTGAGCCATGCCAGCCAGGCAAGAAAAGGATTTTCTTAATCCCTATATTACAGAAGAGGAAGGAGAGGCTCAGAGGTTGGCAAGTTTGCCCAGGAATACACAACAGGAAGAAGGGAATACTAGAACGTTCCTATGAAAAGGGGGGCTAGGGCCAGAGGGGCTGTGCTTAGGACTTTGTGGAAGGGAATGTCTTAGTCTAGGGCACTTTGTATGTACTCAGGGTGCAGGGCTTCTGCTGCCCCTCATCAAATCCTTCTGCCCCACCCCCTAATCTGCCTGTTAATTGCTGGTCTCTACCCCTTGGTCTAGGGCAGCTGCGGCCATCTGGAGGTCTAAGGCTGGGCACAGTGGAGGGGAGGAGAAAGGAAGGTAGTTGGTCTGCAGCCAGAAGGAAGCTGAGGAAGGTTGGAGATGGCCCTGAATTTGTCCTGGGAGGCTGCATCCCTCTTTTTGAAAGTCCAGGACCCCAGTTCAACTTTCTTGCCCGCTACTTCCCACGCCAGGCTCTTCTTCAGGTCCCATCAGTGCTCAGGTCCCTTTCAGCCTGGCTTCTCCCCATCCTCACACACAGATCAGTGGACTAGCAAGATGGCTGAGCACATGGTTAGGATCTGAGCTCCTCTATGGCCAAGTTGTTGGGCCTTTCTCTCCAGCCTCTGTTCCTACTTCTGTAAAATGGAGATGTTGATAGGGTAGTTGAAAGGAAGTCAGATAAAAGTGCAGTAGTAACTGTTTTTTTTTTTCCTTTACCCATAGCACACAGCTTCAAGACTGCCTTTGACCACCTTCAGCCAAGCTATGTATGACAAAGACCCCCCTGGCCTAGTGTCCCCAGCGCTGCCTCTTGCCTCCTCAGTGCTGATGCTGCTAATGAGCAGTCTGTGGTTGGTGGGAGCTGGTCCCAGCCTTGCCTTGGCCCCGGAGCTGCTGCTGGACCCCTGGCAGGGTGAGGGCTGGCTACATGGGCCTTGGAGGAGGCAGGAGACTTGCTGTAGGGCCTGAGACCAGTTGGCCAGAGCAGCATGCCTCTTGCAGTGGTCAGGCAGGGATAGGACCCAGTGCCCTGGGGAGGGGCAGCCTTGAATGGGAGCATGCCCAGCTCATCCACAGCCAAGGAGGGCAGAAGAGCCAGCAAGAGGGATGGGAGCCTGTGAGTAGGAATTCTTTTCAGAAGGCTTCCCATTCTAATGGCTTTCCCTTGAAGTAGGAACTAAGGCTTTCACCTAAGCATGAGAGTGGGGGAGAGGTACTGGGAGTTTAAGGAGTGACCCCAGCTGAGTGCATGTTTCCCAGTAGTAACAGTAGCTTCCATTTACTTTTGAGGAACCCAAATGATGCTCTCAGAGTTTAAGTGAATCACCCATAGTTGTTTGCTTTTGAGAAGCCTGAGTGGTAGGTCTGGCTTGTTCTGTTTAATGTAGCAAGGGAGCAGCCATAGTGTTTGGAAGACCTTGGTTCCCTCTACAAGTGATTGCTGGTGGTGGGCAGACTTTGGCTTCTGGGGAGGGGAGGCTGGCTTAGGGGGTGGCCCTGGTAGAAGGTAATTCCCAACCTGGTACACATGGGACAGCCTTGGGGGTTTGGAGCCACTAACCTGGTACCAAAGCCCATTCTCTCTCCCAGCACACCGGTTGCTGACCCATGCTCTGGGCCACACAGCCCTATCCAGTCTGCTCCTGAGTCTGCTGCTCTTGCCCTTGCTGGGCTGGAGGCAGGAGTGCCACCTGGGCACGCTGCGGTTCCTACATACCTCCACCCTGCTAGCCCTGGCTGCCGGGCTAATAGCTGTACTGCTGGCAGGCCTCGGGGTGTCCACTGCAGCCGGTGGCTGTGGGTACATGCCTGTCCACCTGGCCATGCTCTCGGGACAAGGTTACTGCCCTAAGGAGCTCCATGGGGCACTGCCGCCGTGGCTGTTGCCATGGTTGCTGCTTGCCCTGACACCGCTGCTCACCTCTGAGCCACCCTTTCTGCAGCTTTTCTGCGGTCTCCTTGCTGGCCTGGCCTGTATCCTTTGCCTGGACCCTGGGCCTGTGTGGATATGTGGGTTGTGGCTGGGCCCCCAGGGTATGTGGGAACTGGCACAAGTGGGTCAGGCCCCACAGTGCCAGAAAGCTGTGCACACACATTCCAGGAGCATCTCCGAGTCCTCCTCTAACCAGGTTCGGGGCTGCGGCTTAGGGGCCTTGGCCAGGTGGAGTTGCCAATTATAATTTAAAGGGGAACTGGGAGGGCTGAGGTGGCCCAAGGAGGCAGCTAACCTGGACCTCCTCAGTGGAGGTGGCATCTAAGCCGAGACATGCAGGATGAGGGGTTTAGGTAAAGAGAAGTGAAAAAGGAGAGTGGCCCGGCAGAGGGCGCAGAAAGTCAAAGGCCAGGGGTGAGAGTGAGCTGGGGCTCTGGACACTGCAAGGGCGAACCACCTGTGACTGGTGGTACATGTGCATTCAACACAGGCTTTGGTTTCAAAGATACTTAATGCCTATTGGGGAAAACAGTGGACACAGGCAGACACCCTATAGTTTAGGGTTGAGGATGCTAGCTGCTGAGGCCTTGCTGAATCCTGGAGTAGGGAGCACGCTGCCCTGGCTGAGGGTGATAGGGGATTGTGTCAATGGGCCCAAGGGTACGCCTTGAGTCATAGACCTGAGCAGGTAGATAGGGTTCTAGGAACGGAGTGGGGCAGCAGTGACTGAAACAGGACGAGACAGGTTTTTTGGGTGAGGCACAGCCAGCTCCACCTCTTACTGGCTGAGTAGCTTTAGGCAGGTCCCTTTTCCTCTCTGAACTTCCACTGCTGACTGGAGTGATGTCACATCCCTTGCAGGGCTATAGTGAGGAGACATGAGGGAATGCCCATCATACACTTGGCACAGGGCCTGGCATGCAGTGTGGGCTCACTCCTGGCTGGTTTTGGTTTTCCTTGACCAGCCGCCCTGCCCTGGGCAGACAGACACAGCCGGGGCCTTCCGATGGCTGGAGCTCTCTGAGCAGCGGCTGCAGGAGCTGCAGGAGGGCTTCCTGTGCAGGGTTTTGGCCGGGTGCTGGCCGCTTAGGCTCCTTCCCACCCCGGGCAGTGTGGCTGAGCTGCCTCTCACCCATCCTGGAGTGAGGTGAGGGTGATGCCGAGGACACCTGCCCTGGTGGTGGAAGCTGTGGCAGAGGCCGGCAGTCAAACTCTCTTTTGCTTCTGTTCCTCCAGACTTGCCACCCCTGGACCTCCTTACATGGCCTCCTCTAGCCTATGGTCCCACAGTGAAGGCTCAGCCCCATTCCCACCAGGCCTGGGGCCTGCGCAGCCCACCTGGGAGGGCTCCTCAGAGGTTGGCCTGGCCTGGAGCAGGCCCAGCTTCCCTCCAGGGACCCAGCTGTGGGCAGCCCTAGATGAGCAGATGCTGCAGGAGGGGATCCAGGCCTCGCTCCTTGAGGGGCCAGCCCAGGTTCCCAAGAGCCCACTGTGGCTGCCCAAGTCCTCCGTCTCTTCTCTACGGTAGGGCAGGGTGGGCAGGGGTGGGGTCCCCTGGTGTGGCGGCTGAGGTGACCCTGACAATCTCCTTGTCCCCTCCATCTCACAGGCTTCAGCAGCTGGAGCGCATGGGCTTCCCCATGGAGCAGGCAGTGGTGGCACTAGCAGCCACAGGTCATGTGGAGGGTGCTGTGTCACTGCTGGTCAATGGGGAGGTGGGCGCTGAGGCCCTGGTGACTCAAGGGAGAGGTGGGCCTGCCTATCCCGAGGGTCCTGGGCCCCCCTAGCACAGGCAGGCTGTCCGGTGACAAGAGGCCTGGCCTATGAGCGGGTAGTCTGAGTCCCAGCCCTGTGGACTGACAGTGGGAGCAGGAGAGGCCCCTCCAGCACCCTGCAGTGGTACTGTTTAGAATAAAAATCAGTTTACTTTTCAACCTGGACCCCCTTGGGGGCAGCAGTTGTATCTGACTCTTCTGTGTTGGCATCAGGTGAGGGATGAATGAATGAACAGTGAACGAACAGCCAACTGCAGGAGAGCAGCTCCCTGATGTCCAGACGCAATGTTATTCCTGCACCATGCAGCCTCTTTCTCCAGGAAGCTATGGCCTCTACCTCTACTCTTGCTGGGCTGGACCCACTGTAGAGGAGCATTCTTAATCACCTATTTCCCAGCTAATTTCTGCCCATCACAGAGACAGTCCTCCAGGAAGCATTCCCTGATTACCCAGGAATACCATTTCTTCACTCCCACAGCCCCCAGTGTGGACAGGGGCCAATTCAGTCGGTCTCCTAGGCCTGGCCCGGAGCAGGCTAGGAGGCTGGTGGCTGTGTGAGCAGGAAGCAGTGGGGGTTGGGGTGGGGGGGGGAGAGGCTTCCTCAGCTTTGAAGCAGTAGCTCCTCCCTCCCAGTTCCCCTCAGTCCTTGGCCCTTCCCAGGGAGGGGAGGTGCAGACAGAGCTAAGAGGGCAGAGGGTTGGGTGTGAGTGTGTTTCCAATGGGCTGGGGGGAGGGGTAAGGCAGAGGGGCACCTGGGACGCTGGACTTTGAGGGGTGGTGCAGGAGGCTACAAGTCCTGGAGCAGACTACACTCTGCTTACCTGGAGACTGAACCTGCTGTTGATCACCAGCTGGGGGCCAGAAACAGACTGGGAACTCTGAGGGCCACGCCATCGGTTTCATTTTCTCAGTTGTGCAAACAGGCTCAGAAGAAGCTGCCCTCAGGTTTGGCAGCTCCTTGCTCCCCTGGCCTCTCAGAAGCCATAGCCATTGCTGGACACCTGGCCAGGGAATGGGGGTGGCCTGAGTCTCTGTTCTGCTTACTTACCCCCTTGCCCCAGCTGCCCAGGTAATGGCCAGGGGAGCACTGGCCCCCTCAGCTGTAGGCATGCCAGCCTCAAACCTGCTTTGCAGGTGGGCAGTGAAGGCCACTGAGAAGAGGAAAAAGGCCCCTGGCCTTGCCCTGCTCCCCCCCCCACGCCCCCATCAAAGCACACACTGAGACCAGGCTCGGTGGGGAATCAGGCGGGGGGCCTTTATTGGCCAGTAGATATCTATCTCCTGGTGTCTGCCACAAATTTTATTGGAGCAGGTGGCTCCTCCCTTTCCGTACCCCTCACCTGGGACATAGGAGTAGCTTGGGACTCCAGGGACAGAATTGAGTCAAGGAGTCCACAACATGGTCAGCTCAGGCAGCTTGACCTCAGGGTTGGGAACCCAGCACCGGAAAACAAGAGGAGGGGTGGGGGTGCTCCTCTGAGGTTTGATGGGGAGAAAGGGAGGTACCCCTCCCTCACCCTCCCTGCATGTGCTGAGGGCTGGGCAGAGCTCCAGCTCCTGCAGTGCCTGCAGCCTGCACGCCTGGGCAGCTGATGGGAAAACAGAAACCCTGAACCTACTACCCCCTCCCTGCAGGCCTGCATCACCCCATTTCATGAGGGGAACAGGCCCTGGGCAAGGCCCCACCTGCTGCCTGGGCCAGCTCTCCCTCTCAGGCCCCAGCTCCTGCTCAGCTTCATGTTGCAGCGTGCCTGGGGTGCCTGCTTACCCCAAAGGCCTAGGTGGCAGAGGGACCCTGAGGACATTAATAAATATGGTCGGGCGGTCCCTGGAGGCAGCTGGCAGAGTCCAGGCTGGGAAGGGAAGCCTGGCTGGCCCACCCCGAGGGGCCGCCACCGCCCTCAGCCTCTCTCGTTTCGGCTCCTGGGGGCCACGATCTGGTAGTTGGTTGTGTGTCCTCCCCTCTTGCCCCGAAGGAGGTTGGGGGTGCCCATGCCGGCAGGGCCTGCCCCTGACCCCTCTGGTTCTGCCGAAGGGAAGGAGAAAGGCTGGGTTAGTGAGGTCTATGTGAGGAACCCACCTCCCCTTGGCCCTCTGGGGGTGGGGGGACTGGGCACTCGGCCAGATGCACTCTGCCCTGGCATCCAGGAGGCAGAGCTGTAGGGAAAAAGGGGGTCTGTAAACTGGTTAGTGCCCCCCTCCCCAAGGAATTTTTGGCTCCCAAGTCAATGAAATTTTGATTTTCTGTCAAGTGGGGATGAATGAACCCATCATGTTCCTGAAATGCTTAATGTGTGGTGAGTGCTCCATAAAAAATACAGAACTTTTTTCTATATTTTGGGGTGGTGTGCCCTGAATCACCCCCAGTTCACATCTGGGAAAACTAAGGCCTAGGAACAGACTCACTTTTCCTTTCTCCTCTGATTAGGCCACTTATATTGGGGAAGGGTTTAGGGAGGCCAGGCTCTGCCATTGACCTACTCTGTGGCTCTGGACTTCTGTCACAGCCTCAATTGTCTCCTCTCTAAAACCAGGGGGACAGTTCCAGACATACTCTGAGGGCCTGGCCAGCTCCCATAATTATTGAAGTCAGTTCTAACCTGGCTATGGTGAGATATGCCCCAACTTGGAAATAAGCTGGACCCCAAGAGTGAAACGAGTAACCGGCATTCTTGCTATCTAAAAACCTACTCATCCTTCAAAACCCAGAGCATGACCTACCTCCTCTAGGAAGCCTTCTGTGACTATCACTTCAATCCCTCGCAAAGCTAAATGAACAGGTCAGGCAGGTCGGGAGGATGGGCTGTTCTTCTAGGGGGAGAACAGCACTCAGGGAAAAGCCCCAGGATGGAGGACTTGACTAAACCTCCAAAATCCTGTTCACAGGAGAGACACTTGGCCTGTGGTGAACACCAGCTTCCCCCCGAGGGCACTGCCAGGACAGTGGGCTAGACCCTCATAATCGTAACTGTTAAGGGCCCTGGCGCTGTGTGCCCCAGCCTCCCATGTACCTCTGGGCTGAGATTTGGGGACCCTGGGCAAATAAGCATGTGCCATCACAGTCAAGGGGACATTTTATGCCCTAATCGGAGCATAGGTAGGAGGGAAGCAGAGCTCAGGTTCCAACATCAGCTAAGACCAAGTCCTGGCCCCATGTCCCAGTCATGTAGCCTTGGGCAAGTCACAGACCTTTGAGCCTCATCTGGAATTCGGCCTCAGTGGTGGTGGTGGTGCTGTGTTAACACTCCTGTTGTCACACCCTTGCTGTGTTTTAAGGACCGGGAGTGGAAAGTGGTTTTCACAGTACATGCTGGATTATTATGGTCACTGGGATGGTGAGCTTTTGGCCCAGGTCTCCTGCAGGCCTGGTCACTGAGTTGGTCACAGACGCTGTTCTGACATAATCAAATTCAGGGCCTTGGTTTCCTCTGGGCCCCACTCAGTGCCTAATAGAGTGGAGGTGTCAGTGAACCTTTGCCGGTGGAGCCAAAAGAGCCAGGGCTTTAGAGGAGACACCTGGAGTGGACTTTACCACTATGTTCCTATGACCCTGAGGGAGTCATATGAGCCCTCTGAACCTCTTTCCTCATCTGTGAAATGGGAATGGCATTTATCGCCCACCTGGCAAGCTTGTAAGGACTGGACATGACTGTAAACCCTCCAGCCCAGGTGGGCTGGATGTGTGACAGCTGTAACTGTTGTCATTATGGATTATATCCTAAACATGAGTCCCATCTCGGCTTTTAGTTAGCACCTGCTGTGCATGATGGGCCAATGGGGATGGTTCCATCTCCTCTGCTCCCCTCCTCCCACACCACCTCTCCCAGGCCCACAACCAGAGCTAGCCCGTGGGATCTCTCTTCTAGGCTCGTGGCCAGGGTGGGCGTGGGCCTTCCTAAGTGACCAGCACTTCCTCCCTGGGCTGCTAGAGACAGAGCTGGCTGAGGCCCTCCCTCAGGCCACAATGTGTCCCTTCTAGCTCCTGCTGCGATCTTCCTGAGAGGAGCTGGGGGG